CTGTGTTATGGTATAATAAACCCTCAGGGTTTAAACCCTGGATCTCTATGGTTTAACTGCCTCCTGCTGTGGTTTCCCGACAGACTGAAGACATCTTTGAGAAGCTGCCGGGCTTTAAGAGCATCGACATCATTGAATTCAGGTACTGTTTAATTTATATAAAACCTTTCAGCTGTTTGAGAAGTTCAAACCTTTTAAGCCCATAAAATGTTTTTTTTTTTTTTCAATTGTGTAGATAAAATCATAAACTTCCTGATAAGAAGTAATATTTGTTGGTTATAATGTGATTACTTGATCTTATCTACTATTGATGTGAACTTCTAGTATTGCCAAGTGCTATTATGTTTTTCATCAGTTTGTTACAAACTTAAATCTGTCTAACCAGATTATTTCAGTCTGCAAACTAAGTTATAGTTCTGTCTGCCTACAGTTCATTCATCGGTTTAATTATTTTTATTTTCAGACCTCAGAAGGACCTTAAGCGGTAAGTTTATCCTGATCCTCCTGTGCAGATATATTTAGCTGCTGATTGTCTCGTTGTCTCCTCTGGAAGTCCTTTCACCCTCCTGTCAGTAACTACTGTCTCTGCTGCTCGTCTTTCTGCTTAACTTCTTAAACAATAGTCATTCGGCTCTTAAGTCGGATCATTCGGCTGTCGGCCACCTGCAGCCGGCGGCGGATTAAAGCTTCATAACAAGCTTTCTGCTCGTGTTGTCCCATCTCTCACACATAACCAGTCAGCTTCTGGTGATCTCCTGTAACGTTAAATATGAGAGAACAAAATAGATTAAAAGGATTTAAGGTCTGTGTTGATTTGTAGCATCCTGAAAGTCTCTTGCTTATTGCAAGCTAACTATTTTAGCTGTTCATATGCTGAAATGTGCAGCTCGTACAGATGGATGCTGTGACATTTTTTTTTTTTTTTTAAATGTTCATACTTTAAAAAAATAAAAATAAACCAACACTTTTATGCTTTCACTGCAATAAGTTATTTTTTGTTTTAGCTGAATTGATTTTTTAAAGTATTTATTCAATTAATTTTAGTTTCAGCTATTGTGCTAATTTTATCATTTGCTATGATTTGAAAGGATTACGTTTCGGCTAATGTATTGCTAATTTTGGCTTTTAGCTACTGTTTTGCTCATCTTAATTTGTAGCCTGTTGTGCTAAATTAAAAAAAATTAAGCTGCTGTGTTGCTAGCATTAGCTTTTATGTACTGCTTTACTGGGTTTAACTGTTGGACACAGTTTTATGGTTTTAACAATTAGCTTCTGTTTTCCTAATTTTAGCATTTCATCTATGATTTAGCTAATAGATTTAACTATTTTAAATTAGACTAATGTTTTTTGTAATTTTTTACAAGTTTATTTTTTTCTGGTTTTAGTTTTTATGTCTTATCAGTTTCTTTATGACTTGAGTTTAAAAAAGTCTTTGGTATTTTTAAATTCCTGATTTTTTTTATAGCAATAAACAATTTGATTTCTAAACAATGCACTTAAATTTTAAATTACTTATAATTTTCTTCTTTTTTGGGGGGGAGGGGGGCAAATTTTGGATATTTACTGGACTATTTTATGCTTGTTTCTTCATAGTATTTTATTTCCTGATAAATGGTCATCATTTTTTTTTTTTTTTGTATTTCCTTATTTTCTTTTAATAATTTTTGCTTATTTCCTGTGGAACATCTGATCCAGAGTTTAAAGGTCTAAGCGTCTCATATGACTGTGTTCGGATCCTGTCAGGGGTCTGGTGGTCCAGGTGCACTACGCCATCATCTTTGAGGTAGAGGTGGACGGTGGTGGTGTCTCCAATGACACTCTGGACTTCATCACTCTGCAGAACAACCTGGTGGAGAAGAACTACCCTGGAGCCGCCGAACAACCCACCATCATCTACACCATCACCGACTTTCGCAACTACATCACTGAGGCGCTGCACAAAGACGACTTCCTGACCAGCAGCACCCTGGAAAATGGTGCCGCACTAGTTGTTCCCACTCTGCTTTTTAAATAAATAAATATGTAAACGTCTTTTTTAATTAGCCTCTAGATTCCTAAAGAGGTACCACCTGAAGTGCCCACTAAACGTAGGAACCCAAAGGTTTAATCAGGCCTTGAAGGCCTCAAAACCCAACAAGGATTATTTCAGAAGGAAAACATTATCCATTCTGTTTCAGTTTTATTTCTGACATAGAAATAATATTTGTGTCTGAAAATGTTTTGATTCTGACAAACTGTTTCTGTCTGCAGCAGAGAACGCGTTGCCTGCTATGAAACCTACAAGCAAACCAGGCGACGCCTACAGCAGCATGGTAAACTGACATTAGATCTAATCTGAGATTATTTTATAAAACTGGTTCGAGAAAAAAAAAAAAACTACAAATAGTCCTGTGACCCAACTCATCAACAGACCTTCAGATTTTTGGAATTTGAATTAGCCTCCTTTGTTTTCAGGATAATGTCCTTGCGGCAGAAAAACCTCCCGACGCTCCGAGCCACGAGACAGATCCCAGTGATGTTTTCCTGAAGAAGGAGGACTTCCTGTTGGACACATTTGACCAATGGAAAGGTCCTCAGAGTGAGGCAGTGAGTGAAAATGATGTCTTCATGTTTGACGAAAGCACACCTCCTTCACCAGCTGCCGAAATCCCAGAAAAAACCTTTGACATGGAGCCCATGACTAGAGAAAGTAAGTAATGTCTGTATCTGAAAAGAACAGTGATGAAACACAAATAACATCAACATGTTTGAAGAATTCACAACCTAGATTTTATTGGACATTTGATTAAGAAATGATTGTGAATTGTTTTCCTTTAGTTCTAAAGAGGAAAATCTCAGTAATAAACATTTACATACACTTTCTTTTTTTATATATACAGACAACGGAAATATTGAAGACGAGGGTTTCCTCGTTGGTAACATTCCCAGCAACAATGATGTCCAAAAAGGAGTCCATTCTGAAGACTCCTCTGCAGCCAGAATACCTCCAACATCCTCTGAGGTCACGTTTGAGGATACATCTGGCTCTGGTTCCTCAGGAGATGGTCAGGGCACTGATTTGTGGCAGACTTCAGAGACATCTGACATCAATTATAACATGGGTGATGGTAGCCTGGAGGTTCTGCCCCCACCAGATCTGGAAGTGGATGCAGATGAGGACATACCTGCTGTAGGGACACCAACCACCAAAACAAAAGACGTAGTTGCAACAGAAGAAGTATTCAAAGAGCCAGTTGTTTTACAGATGACAACAGCTCATGCTTTTGAAAAATCATCTTTGGATGAACCTACTATGGTAACACCACACATCAGCACGGAACCACCGGACTTAACCACATTCCAGTTACCTGTGTTCTCTACAGCAAGGATGCCAAGTGTGGAACTTCCTGTGCAAACAGTGGAGGCATCTGGTTTTCATGAAGATTATTTCCTGACTGAGACATATACCTTTTCTTCACCAGTCACAGTTTCTCCTGAACCTGAGACTTATGAGTCTGTTGGTTTTCCTGGTCCAACTGATTCAATCGAGCTTCAAGAGGTCACAGAACAGGTGGAAGTGATGACTAAAGCAGTAACAGAGACACCTGTGCTAACAGTCACCTCAGAACCAAAGGAAGACCTCCTAGAGAAGAAAGAGACTGAAAGCAGGACTGTTACACTTGAATCACTTGAAATCCTTGATACCAAAACTCCACAAGCTGTAAACTTGTCTTTTGTAGAGGTTCAAGCAGCCACAGTCAGTGAATTTATCTTTGAAACAGGCACAGATGAACCATCACAACTAGATGTCTTCACTGATAAACCTGAACCACCTCTTGCAGAGACAAAAACTCACGAAAAGGTTGAGATCTTGGAAGAGAAGCATTTAGACACAAGTTACCTTACAACTACAGCCCCAACGCCTAAAGTCCTGGACCATGAACTAGTTGTAGACGAGGTTTTTGTTGTTACTACATCGACAGCAACTCCCATCCCAACTTTATCTGTAGTTCCAGACCACAGCAGTGGTGTTGCTCTCTCTCCTGAGAAGGATTCACCGTTCACTCGAATCTCTGATTCAGTGCCAGAGGACGAGGATCTCTTTCACCAGGAGCACCAAAATCATGATGAAGAGACTGAGGTTTCAGTTAGCCCACTGTCCCCAGCAGTCTCTCTGTCTTCAACAGTGAAAGAAAGTGTTCCAACTGATTCTGCAGAGGGATCAGAAGGTTCTTTGACATTAAACCGAAGCCTAAGTCCAACCACAACAGAAGTTTCAGGGTGGGAAAAACAACCCCTGGGACAGGAAGTAAAGCTTGCAACAGTTAAGATAGAGCCTTTGGGTGGCAAAGTAGATCCCTCAGGAGATAAAGTAGACCTTTCTGTAATAGAGGGCAAAAAGGAACTTTCAGAAATAAACGTAAAACTTCCAGTAGACACAGAGAAACATTCTGAAGCAGGGAGCAAAATAGAATCTTCTGTAAAGAAAGAAGAACCCTCACAAGAGGAAGTAGAACTTTTGAGAGTAAAGGAACAACTTTCTGGAACAGGAGAAGAATCTCCTGGAGAGAAAGTAAAACCTTCTGAAGCAGAAGTAGATCCTTCAGGAGGGAAATTACAACTTTCTAAGGGAGAAGAACAATTAGCAAAGGAAGTGCAACCTTCTGTAAGGGAGCCTTTAGAAGAAGTCACAGCTTTAGGGGGTAAAGTAGACAGTGACATCCTTCAAATGCCAACACCCTCCTTACCAAAAGTCAATGACAGCACTTCTGAATTTGAACCTTTCGAACAAGATTTTTCAGACATGCCGAGCATTGATGTCAGCATCGATGTATTCCACTACGACACGAGGGTCAGAGAAGGTGAAAGCAGTGGCTTCTTCAGTGGAGTGCCAGGTTCAGACCTCGAGGCGATTGCTCTACCAACGAGACCAGGCAGAGATTTAACTGTTTTCTTTAGCTTGAGGGTGACCAACATGGTGTTTTCTGCTGACCTCTTCAACAAGAGTTCCTCGGAGTACAAAGCTCTAGAACAACAGTTCATAGAGCTGGTGAGGACTCCCAATAATTTGTTCAAAGAAAATATATTTTTTTAGGATTTCAATGCTCCTAACACATTCCAATCTTTGCAGCTGGTCCCTTATCTTCAGTCAAACTTGAGCCACTTCCAGAACTTGGAGATCCTCAACTTCAGAAATGGCAGCATTGTCGTGAACAGCAGAATGCGGTTTGGGAAACCAGTACCTCAAGAGGTTACCAATATCATCTACCTGATCCTGGAAGACTTTGCCAACAATGCCTACCAGACCATGAACCTGGCCATTGACAAGTACTCACTAGATGTCGAATCAGGTAGGGGTCACATTAAGACATGATGGAACGTGTGGCTGTTCATAGGCTTACAAAATATTTGGGGTCCGATATGGTCAATAAAGCAACTGGTCATTGTGGGTACTCAAAACATGAAACACAGTTGTTATTTTTAGAACAAAACATATTGTCTGCGTCTATACAGTTTCTTAATTCTTCCGTAATTATCAAGGATATTTTACAATCAAATGGTTCGGTGTTGAGGTTTGTGTTTAAAACATTGCATGCAAAGTAGTGAGCAATTTACATTCCTTCAAAGAATGTTTATTTCATTTACTTCATTTTATTTTTTATGTAGTTTTTTAGCATTTGAAATGTAACTAGTGGGGGAAAAACAGCTTAAGGGTTAAAGTAGGTTTGGATAGATGCTTTGATTGATTGGTTACGAGTTCCAATTAATATCTGACGTAGACTGAAAACCCTAAACTTTGTCCTTTTTGATGCTTTTTTAGTCAAAAAGTCAGTGACCTGAATCCAGGATCAGTTTATTTTGAGATCTATGCACTGACAGTGTGAGACCTGGTCTTATCCACCACCTTTGCTAGTTGCTAACTAGGCTAACTTGCTTTTCTGTATAATGTTGATAAAGACATGTTAATTTAAAACAAACAAAGAAAAACAATTCTATGAAAATAGTGTGAATGCTAAGAACTGAAAGGCTGCTGAAATTTTGTGCAAAAATTAAATGGGTTATTTAAACACACACAAAAAAAGCTTATAGGAGCACAGTACCTTAAGTAAAGGTAACGCAAAAAGCACTGGCTAAAAGTAGAATAAAGGCTTGCTAATAGCTAAAAGTAACAAAGGGCTAGCCAAATACTAAAAAGTAGCAAAACGGTAGCTATTAGCCAGTGGTGGACACAGTTCCGTTAATCTGCTTACAGCTAATAACGGAACTAATTTTTCTTTTCGCAGATTAGCGTTTTCACTAACTTTGGAAACCGTTAGCAGAAATAGCTTCTGCTAAATTAGGTTTCGCCAAGTTTAAGTCCACTAGCAAAATTCACAAGCTATTTCTGTCTGTTGTGGGCGTGTCTCGAAGAATCTGTTAGGCACGCTATTGGCTGACTACCTGTACGACATACATGACAAGATGTGATTAGTGAACTTGGTGGAGTGGTGGCGCAGTGGTTCGAGAAGATTCAAGGTTCTTTATTTGTCATACACACCACATGTGGTACATGTGGTGGAACTAAATTGTGTACACAGGGTTCCAGTTACATCCAACAAAAGTATTAAAATGTAAAAGAAAAACCGTAATGAGATCTAAGATATTAAGATGGGCCTGTGATCGGAAAGTCACAGGTTCAACACCCCAGACTGACAACATTAAAATGTGGGTGGAAAAAGTGAAATACCCACACCTGCCTCCACCTTCATTTGCCCCACTCTGGACCCTTGAGCAAGGCTGTTAACCCCCATCATCTGCTCCCAAACAGGTCTCTCTTGAAAATTAGTTCTTGTTACTCAGTGAAACTACCTGTATAAATAAAAGGTAAATTACATTTTTTTTTTTAAAATAGTCAATGCAGCTTTAACTGGAAGGAGATGAAGACGTGTGACGCAGACTGTGACAGCTGTCTTAGTAGTTAGTGGTTTAGCCTTAGCTTCTGCAAACTTTTGTACCTGTTTAGCTGTTTTGCTGTTGTGATGCTAATTTTTTAGTATGTGGATTATGGGTTAGTGAAGCTAACATTTTGGTTAGCTGTGCCCACCACTGCAGAAACTGGTCCAGATGACATGATTTAACGTTCTTTGTTGTTATCTACCTGGATGATTGAGCTTACAAACCTTTTTTCACCACCACTATTAGCTAAAGTAGCTCAAAGGTATCCAAAAGTAAAAAAAAACGCTATCTTAAAAAATAAAAGTATGAATGGCAGCTAATAACCAGTGGTGGAGAAAGTACTAAAACACTGTACTTAAGTAAATGTAAAAATAAACAGACAAAATGTACTTTATTAAAAGTAGAAGTACCACATTAACATTTTTATTTAAGTAAAAGTAAGTAAATACTTGCTTTTAAAACTACTTAAAGTAATAAAAGTGAAAGTATTTGCTGAATGCAATGGCCTACAATATAATTAATTGTGTCTACCGTATGTATATTTTCTGTAATACATTAATAGTGTTGTGCCATTTTAATGATCAATGCTGCAGATAGTTCATGTTTTTATTGTGTTTACCCTGTGACACAGTTCACACTTGGACTTGTGATTCTGTGCGTCAGAATTTCAGGGATGACATGCAGAGTTAAATGTCATTAAGCAAAATAAGAGGAATGCTTATACCTTTGAAAGTTCTTATTTAGCACAAAGCAAAACCAGTGTGTCATTTTAACTGCAGTGAACACATTTAAGTTTTGTTTTCTTTCAGTTCAACCTTTATTTAAACAGATAAGTCACACTGAGCCTCGAAGACTCATTTACAAGTGAGACCTGTTTGGACAGACAAAAAGTGGTGAAAAATGACACATAGGATTTGGAGACAAAAAAAAATCCTAACATGCTCTTAATCTTTGGTTGAAGGTCAACAGCATGATAATGAAAAAAAGCCCTTGCACATAAGCACATAATGATGCCGACAGGCGGCACGGGGGGGCAAGGATGGTAATCATGTCCAGAGACAACACACAGAGGCACTGCAGAGTTCAGATCAATTTGCTCAGTTCAAATAGTTCCCTCTGGAGAGATCCGTACACACTCGGGGGGTGTCGAGGACGACCAAGGACGAATCCAGAGAGTCCTGAAATGATGACAGAATGTTTATTCAGCTGGGCCCCTCTGAAAAGTCCATGAAATTTCTCGTTGGGAGGGGAGGGAGGGGCAGACCATCAAAGGTTTACAAAACTTTCAGGCGAATTAAGATAAGATGGCCTGTCAGGGCCATTCAGGGAGCCGAATTCAGATAAACACAGTTGTTTTGGGGACAGACAGAATTTTAATTACATCTACAAGTTGTCTCCCTGAAAAAAAGGGCGTTAGACCTAACAAAGGAACAGGCACTGATCATTTTAACTCCAGTTTGTCATCAACTCTGGGTAAAATACTGTCGTCAATGGGTCAATTGGAATGGAATCCATTTTGGGTGTGTTAGCGGTGCTGTGGGTGCACCCAGCTCAATGACGTATATACTAGAATATACGTCATTGTCCCAGCTCTTCTTGAAGGCGGGTCTAACGTTACCTGCCCACTTTGCAGTGATTCAATAGACCAACTCCCCTCTCACCATTGGTTACTTTCACGCTAACAACCAAATTTAAAAAAACACAACGTGAATGTAACGTGTAACGCATTATAGAAATGCAGTGAAGTAGAAAATACAGATACTTCATGTAAAATGTAGTGGAGTAAAGGTCAAAAGTACCCACATTTTTGCTCTACTTAAGTAAAATACAGATACATAAAAAAATTACTTAAGTACAGTAACAAAGTACTAGTACTTAGTTACATCCCACCATTGCTAATAACTAAAAATGGCATAAGAAAACAAATCAGAGGCAGTACACTGTTTCTGGAAGAATTCGAAAAAGCTTCACTTCTTTCAATGGGGAAATATTTGTAAATAATGTTATTTTAAAAAGAATAAAAGTAAAAAGAAAATAACCCATCACACCCATATTCTAATTTTGCTAAACTTTTTGATGACTAATACTGCACAAAATATGCAGAAATAGTTGGAGTGCAAAAAAAATGTACAGAAAACTAATAAAAACCAGGAAAACAATCGTGCTGACTCAGCATTCAGGCAACAAGGAATAACGGAGAATAAGAACACAAACCTTTCTTGGGTTTTGTTGCTTCACTGCTTTTCTTCAGCGCCTCTTATGCCCTTTTCACCTGTTAGGATCTGATCTAATGCCTCAGATAATCTGTCTGAGAGGAACGTGCGCAGCGGCACTCACTCATCAACACCGTGTTGGTTGTTTACCTCGTCCGTCGGAACACCAGGTCTCTCCTTTCATTGTTAATCAGTCAGATGGCACGTGTGTCCGGCTGTCTACTGAGCCTACACCGTAAAACACAAAGCGCTTTTTATACGTTTTAAAATTTGGACAGGCAACTTTGAGACAAACTGTGGCAGAAAATCCAAAATCGAGACGGTAAATTTTCATAAAATTAAGAACCTGGACAAGAAGTAGAAGCCCAAGAAGTAATCAATAACTCAACTGATGGCAGGGTCATTTTTGTTTGAATCGTTTTTGCTAAAATGTTGGCGTTTTAATAGTAGTAAAATATATTTTATTTTTGAGCTTATTGATTTTCATCTACAATTTTGGCATGTAAGGCGGCAGGTGATATAGTCTGTATTCTTCCATTTAATTCAGATTAACTAAATATATGTTAAGCCAAAACACTCTTGAGCAACTCCACAAATAATTATTGGCAAAACTAGGTCATTAAGGTACCTTAGTTAGGTACATGTTAATATTATTGTTAATGCAACCTGTCATCATTGTTAACATGTTAATGTTGAAGAAGTGCTTTCGATAATAACAAATTTTGCCGGAGATGCTTTGACGTCTCACTGTAAAGATAGACATTTTACCTGATGTCCGTCTACACTTTCCCTGCGTCTCTTCTGAGCTGTGGAGCTTTAATCTGTCTGAGCCATTCATGGGAGCCCCTGACAGACCAATCAACCTAATCTACACGGGTGAGTCACTGTGGTCTGGACTCGAGCTAATCAGTTTACTCCTGTCATCTCCACTGTACTCTGCAGACATGTTTTCCATTGCACAAGCACACGCTCGACCACAGAGGGTCATGTAGAGGCGGCAGCGTTGCTCGAGGTCAGCTGGGTTAATCAGAGTCACTTTCTGTCGCGGCGGTACTCTAACTTTTCATAATCCGTATAAGAAAATGCTAAGTTTAACCAAAAGGATAGAGATTAAAATAGGTTGTACAAGCTTACAAGACTTATATCTGACATGAATGAATAAAAACTGTTCTACCTGCTAGAATGTCTATAAGATTACATAT